GTTACTGAGTAAGTTGTTGTTGTTTGTTTTCCCAACAGATGTCTGACTATGTACGGATCCAGACAACAACAAACCTTGTTTACTTAGTATGACAGACAAAATCAGGCTGCCAAGACATTACAATACAGTTACACTTCAGTTTTGATTTGAAGTAAACGGCTATTTGTAAACATTCACCTGAATCTAAAAGGAAAAACATCAGGAGGAAGGCCTCATCATTTCTCTGAGACACATTAACAAATACAGTAAAATACTGTCACCATTACTCGATTAACTCAATTCCAAAGTACCAATGAATCAGCAATGATTAATGTCTGTTTGCATGAGGATAACACATACTATCAGTTCTCCTACTGGACTCTCAAGCATTTACAGACATTTTTACCATGTAATATGATGTCTTAAGTCTTTAATGAAATCTTTCAAAGGCTTTCCAGTTTATATAGTTTATTATTATAAATGTCCTACATACAGTTTATAAGTAGACGTGTGAGTGACTGTCAGTGAAGTCCCTCAGAGGCAAACTGGTCTGTCCCATTTTTCATGCTGTACAGTACAGTTGACAACTTGATACTAGCTGGGGGAAATGAGAGGTCAACCACAGCATTCATCTGAAGAGGGAGGGTAGAGAGCTGCTCTGATCTACATTGCAGTCCTGCTCTATGTGTGTTTTATTCTCTAGAGAAAGTGATGGCTGCGGCTCATAAAAAAAGGACTCTGCTTCAACTTAGAGAATCAGTGCCTAGCCTGGGGAGGCCATTTGGCCAGGTTTGTATGAGTAGGTGAAAAAGCTAGAGTATGGCCTCTTGAAGCTCTTTCAGTAACAGAATGCTGTAAAACCCACACAGAGCTCACTCAAGTCATTTAAATGCCACAAAACTGCAAATAACTGCACAACATGAACTTCCACTATGATAAGCTCAAGTGATGAAACTGTTGGACACTTGGTGCAACATGTTAGATCAGGTAAATGCTTTGATATGCCTGAATGCTCAGAGGAAACTCTCTCTGTGCACTTCAAGTACTGTGCTTTGTTAGAATTATAATGTGTTTTTTATTTTACTGCTTTTTGCAGTAACTACTTTACAGAGGTTAATATTGCAAACAATGTCAAACATTGTTTAGCATGCATTACTGTGCAAAAGTTGGAGAGCACCCTTCATTTACTTAATTTCCAGTCCAAACAGCCATTAAATAAAAAAAGAAAGTAAAGAAAATAAGAAAATCAAGCTCTACTCTCAACAGCAAATAAACAGCAGTTCAGAAAACTTTTAAAAGAAACAGAGAAAATAGGACTCATAACAACCGTCCCAGTCGGGGTAGACCACCAAAACTGCCACCATCTGATAAACAGTACTCAAAGCTTTCACCTCTGAGAGAGAGGTGAAAATCAAGCTCCACTCTTGCTTCATATCAGAAAAAAAGATCCATCCTTCAACTCAGTGCTATTTATATTATATAGTTTTTGAGACTTCTGTGTAATTTTCTGTTAAATATGTTTTCTGATTTATTTCCTGACACTGCACAGTACGGTATGATTTTATATGATCAAACTGCCAGTTACAGCTGTCATTAAAACCCTTTTGCACGTACAAAGCATGCAATTCCATAAACCATACAACAGATTTCCACCCAGTGATGACATTAGGTAATACAGCAAAAATGTACAAATCACACGCCCCATATTTAAAGGCAAAATGAAGCAACGCAATGGCATTTTTTGATGCGTGTGCATGTGTGTTCTCAGAACATCTGGATTTGCTATATCCTACACATGTATTAAATCACACATTATCAGCTGCCATCACAAACACTCAGGGCTTTCTTAAAGTCTGGGAAAGGACTTACTGAAGCACTTTCGTGCCTCAATTATTTGGGTTTTCACAAGCAATTCATCCACAAGAATCGAAAACATTTTTTTAATATCCTGGAAAAAACATCATTACTCAAAACAAGACGAACTTAGCAGAGAATGAATGAGAGGAAATCAAAGCTTTGTTTAGCTTAGCGTGTATATAGGCTAATTAGCAGCACAGCACGGTAAAGAGAAATCATACAAGCTAAAAAATATGAAGTAATGCTATGAAAAGACTTTTCCCTAGAACCAATGTATATTGTTAATGGAGTTATCTAGTACCTATCTTGTACAATAGCATAAACACACTCCACTGTGTTTCATTCATTATGCTTTACCTGAAGATGAAGAAAATGCCCTGTATTGATATTATACTAAAACACAGAGAACACCGTCCAGTAACTACTCAGGATCTGTGTTCAGATGCATTCTGTTTATTCCGCATCTGAAAGTGCAGGCTGAAATATGTGAGCTGTCACAGTGCTCCAACACAAAGTTCCCTTTATGTCTCCCAGAGGCAGCGTTAAAGACCGTCTTCCATATAAGCACTGCTATTGTGCCGGCCATGATGGGCAGCAATCACTCCCTTTCTTTAACAAAACAAAAGAGAGAGAGAGAAATCAATAAACCTTTCAGATGCTGCATCCATTTAGCAGGCTTGTTCCAGCCCAACTTTCTCAAATAACAGAGACGAGAAGCATTGGGGGGAATAATAAATGCAATAAACCATGATATCATATTGCCTTCCAGTGTATTCTATCTGACTTTTGCATCAATTTGGAGAGAACATTAGCATGGGTCTCTGGACGAAGGGAATGTCCCTGTTAACCCCCACAATACATGCAAATCTTGTACTATTTTAATATCTCAACAAATCTATAGATTAGATGTGACCTGCTGAACAACAGCACAATTCCCCTCACTTTTCTGCTGTTGAAAGAATCAAAGGAAAGTGTTCTTTTTTACCAGTTCTGGCTGTTAGCAGTATATGTTTATATGATGGACATATACTTAAACTCATCAAATATCAACATAAACCTGTATTCCTCATATTGTTCATATCAGTGCTTCAGTAATCTAAAAATATACTTTATCATCAAAATATGCCTTATTACCAAAAAGAAAAGTCTGTTAAAAAGACCAATGCATGATGAAATGATGCATTAATTTTTATTCAAACTGCCAACTGATCACTGCAGATTCAGGATGAATTTTAATTAACAAATTTTTTACACAAAATAACAGTTCCAGTCCATTGTTCAGTTTATGCTTCATCCATGTATTAATCATGAGCATGCCTTAGAGGTAGTATACTAAAAAAGACCATATAAAAGTCCATATCAATGAGATATTACATCATTGCTTGATGTTTTGTCTTCTTTTTGGTATAAAATCTCAGTGGCCACTATGGCTTCTTTCTGGTCTCTGGGTCAGGGACATACTGAAGCATGTCAGAGAAGGCAGCTTCCAGCTCTAAGGTTAATGCAGAGCTGATATGCCATCAGGGGTTATATATCATGAGGCTATATGTGCATATGGGCAGTACAGGCAAAAATCTCATTATAATACACTTTTTCACATTGTTTATTACCAATATTATAGGTCAGAATAGTATTTTGAACCTTGAAAAACCAAATGGCTCATTTTGAGTTACATTTGATTTAAGAAAAAAACTGACACAATTTTGTCTTCTTCCAAGATGTTTTTCCTCAAACTCAGTCTTTTTTACTCTTTATCATACTAAAAAAGCTCTCTTCTAATTTTTATACGTACGATTGATTTGCTAGACCTTTTCCTCCTCGTCTAAAGCGCCAGACTTGCTATCAAAGCTTTGCTGCTAATACTGGAATCAGCAACATGATGACATAACTAGGCCTGTCACAATTATTACATGATCGCAATTATTTGTGATGATCGCAATTATATAAGCTGACTGCAGGCATTTTCCACAATCCTTAGATTTCACAATCATATTATGCTGCAACAAACAAAATGTGAATTGGGTGCACTGGGTTGAGGCAAACAAATGTAAATTAAAAAAAAGAAGTAAAGGCATTCACTGAGACATCATGAAAACAAAAACAAACAAAAAAACTAATGTATAACTTGCTAACATCTAAATATTGTCTAACATGTTTGTTTATCTGTTTGCCTTGTAGCTAATTCTAACGATTTTAGCATGTTAGCTGGCAGAATGAGTGTGTTTTTTGCTTATATTTTCACTGTCATGAAACTGCAGATATTTGTGTATGCGCAGTATTGATTTGACAGTACAACCAGTGTTAGCTATTAAGTAAACACAGCTAGCAGGTGAGGTGGCTTATCAGGCAATTTTAGGCACTTTATGCTTGTAATTAGTAGATGCAAACAATGAACAAAAAAATACAAATCATTAATCACAATTATTTATATGACAATTAATTGCCAGCTAAAATTTCATGATCCTGACAGCCCAAGGCATAATGATTTTATCACATACGTCACATGTGGGCATGTCCATGATTGTATGCCCTTCCACATATATTGTGGTCCAAGCTATTCCCAAAACAGTTCACGATCTATTGTTTGCATTCATTGTCCACAAAAACACACAAACTTCTTGTATTCTTACTGGATGCTGTGATGACTTCATCGTTAGTGAATCTGACTGGTGAAGACTAGATTGCATAGACAGAAAGCTACATTTCTGCATGTAATTCTCATCATATTAAAACCTCAAAGTTATACTGCATTAACATTTCATGATGTACCAATACAAATTGTTTAAATTATCTAATAGAATCTACTGGAATTTTCCAAATGCACCGATAGAAATCATCTAAAATTATTTGGAATAAATTAATTAATGTACATATGAATGTACAGATTAATTTTATTAAAGCTAAGGAAAAAAAAATCCTTTCCATAGAAGATTTTGTCATGTCAGTAACAATTTGACAATCGCAGCAAATATGTAATGATAAATTAAAGGTGAACTATTTAAGTAAATGTATGCAGTTAACACAGATTATTGCAGTTTACATGAGACAGCATTTAACATTTGTGATATAGTTACCAACACTGTTGAAAGTAGTTACTGGCCTACTTTCATACAAACCTACAAGTCAGTCTGTTTAAATCTCATTCACATACAAGCTTTTCTTACCGTGGTTGTCCTCGGACTGATTGAATCCGCAGAGCTGGCAGATGGAACGAACCCAGCGGTTCATCTCCTCTTCCGTCTCTGCCACCAGGTAGAAGGTTCTTTCAGCTGTTTTGATATCAAACACAAAGCTGTCCTGGAACTCTTTACGTTTGAAGGTGAGACCAGCGTCCACCTGCTCACAGCAGTGCAGATCTATGATGCGAATGGGCTTTTTGGCATGGTCACTCTTGTAGTACTCCAGAACATCTGGGTCTCCACTCATGCGTCCACTGCGGAGGATAAACCAGCGCTTCTTCCAGGCCTGGGGAACACACAAACAACAGATCAGAGGACAACATAGCTGATAGTAATAACTCCACCTTTATAGGACTTCCTATGCAGAACCTATATGTCAAAGTAGGGACGTCCCAATATGATCTGATGGTTTGGGATCGGAGATGATCCAGACATATTTTAACATATCAGTTAACAAGTATGTTAAGCTTGATCCACCTCCGATCTTTTGTTTCTTGTTTTTGTATTCTACTTACGCCACTGTGACAGAGGTGATGTAAACACCACCAGATGAATGTGTAAAATGCGATCCTAAGTGAGTTTCCATCAGTTGAAAATGACACTATTATGGAAATGTTCTGCTTTACCAGATGTGCCATATTACTTCTGGTTTTAGCAGATATAGCGCATTTAAAACAAGAGGGCAGCCTTGCATGTCTTACCTAAAATTATGTAGCCATAATATCTATGAAGACACAAAGATTGGATCAGATTGGTATTGGCCAAAATGCAACATTAAAGTACTCGGATCTGTATCAGCCAAACTCACTATTAAATACTTGGATCAGTATCGGCTGATACTCAACATTGAAGTACTCGGATCTGTATCAGCCAAACTCACTATTAAATACTTGGATCAGTATCGGCTGATACTCAACATTAAAGTACTCGGATCTGTATCAGCCAAACTCACTATTAAATACTTGGATCAGTATCGGCTGATACTCAACATTGAAGTACTCGGATCAGTATCGGCCAAAACAACATTAAAGTACTTGGATCGGTATTGGCCAGAACTCAGCATTAAAGTACTTGGATCGGTATTGGCCAGAACTCAGCATTAAAGTACTTGGATCACCATCAGCTAATACATAACATTAAAGTACTCTGAACTCTACCAGCCAAAACTTTAAGTACTTAAAGGATCTGTATGGGCCAATACTCAACATTAAGGTCCTCAGATTAGTATTGGCTGACACTTGACAAGAGCAAAAAACTGGATCAGGACACTGCAACTACTAAGAGCTTTTATGGTTAAATGTAAACAAGTTAAAGTTAAAAATGTATTTTAAAAAAGTAAATTGCAGACATCTATATATGAGTCAGAAGTAAAACATGACAAAACATTGACACAATAACTGAAAACTAAAATGTATTTAGTTAATATTAAGAGGACACTAAAACCACCTGACAGAAATTCTCATTTATATTTAAAACAGATCACAGCTATAATTTTGGGGATGTCGCTACATTCTTTGAATTTATTATTATCATCAACTTTTAAAAACAATTAAAAATGATGAAAACTAAAAAATAATGATAACAGCTAAATTATAACAGTCTGATTTTTCCTTTCTTTCTTTCTGTGAAAAAGAAATGCAGACTGGAGCTGCTTTTTAGTAAAGGTAGAAATTACATTGCTGAAGAAGTTAAAAAAAAAACAAAAAACAAAGTCTTCAGTTGGTGTGCAGATCACAATGATGGAAACCTAGATTAAGTTCTAAGGAAACCTGTAAAAGTGTGTGTGTGTGTGTGTGTGTGTCTGCATGTTACAGAGTGCATGTGGCTTATCACAGACAGGTGTTACTCCCCATATTGTTTCCTGTTCAGATATAGCTGAGGAGGAGGTAAACACACACTACAAATTGACGTACAGGCACAGACACACACGCAGACACACACACCACCATGGCAACTGCGTCCCTGGTAAACACACCTGCGAGGTTATAGTCTGACTGTGAGCCAATGCGATTATGTTTGTAGTGATCATAAGCTCAGCAACACAGACACGCATGTTTGATGTAGTAATAGATAAGATCTAGTTATGTGTGTGTATGTGTGTGTGTGTGGGGGGGGGGTGCAGGGGGTAATTAGTTCTAGTGTAAATAAAAATATGCACCAATCACACATGACAAATCAACAGCTTACTATCAAGAAGAAAAGACATCCGTAAATATAATTATCAGAAATATAATTATCAGGCACACCCACTTGTTAACCTTCAGTTAAAAGACAAAGGAGATGAAGGACCAATTGCTCTATCCATGCTCCGCGCCCACAAACGCATTCTTTTGTGTCAAACTGTTGCAAAGTTGGACAAACATTTAACCCATTCAATTGAATGAATCCGAATCAATAAATATGTTTATGTATGAGTTTAGATGTTACACTACCAAACATGACTATTAAATGAAAATAAACAGGTTCAAAACAACAACAAATTTGCCAGCATTCTAACAAAAAAACTACACCTGATGTATTCTAACAGCATGTAAAAATGTGATAAAGGCTTGTTTTGCTTGTACGTTTATGAGGCACGTAGTTCACTCACATGACATTATTGATTAGGTTTATTCATATTAATGACAGATTTGAATCACAGACCTACACAAATATTAAATTAATTAATATTAAGTCAGATCGGATTTAAGCAAAAAGTCAGAATTGAGCAATGAGGCTTTATCTGAGTTTCTCCTGATGCCTGGTTATACAAGAACTGAATTCAGGACAGTGTTTTTCCTGATTTTGCATGATGTAAATGAATAAATGTTACTGTAACTCGGTTAGCCACAGGCCTAATTTGTAATTAATAATAGTTGTGTGCTACAACTTCTCATTAGGTTGAAAGGGATTTTTGTCAGTGTTCTGTAAAGCCTGTCCAACCTTGCTGCAAAAGAACACATTTGTGGGCAGCTCCGTTTTTTTCAACTTCATAACAAAGCTAGTCTTTAACAGCATTTGTCGGAAGCAGAAACGGCCGTAGAGTCCTGAGGTTAAAAAAGCTTTTTTACAGACTTAAATATTTGAATGTTTGAGATGCTTGGTGTGGGGAGTAGTGTCTGACACTGAGCGAGGGAGGAATGTTTTCTGCAGGGGGAGAGGGAGGGAAGGATAGATGGCTAGATGATGGAGAGAAGCTTTCTGGCCCACCGCCAGCAATCCACTTCCGTTCAGTCTCTCTCCCTCTCTCGTTTTCTCTCTCACATGCTCTCTCTTTCTTTCTTCATTCTCTTTCTGTCATCTTCTCTTGCACTATCATCTTATTCCATCTCGCAGTCCTGTCTCTCTCTCTTTCTTGCTCTCTTTCTGTCATTTTCTCTCTCTACTCTCGCTCTTGTTTCTCTCTCACACACACTCACTCCTGACACAGGATCCTGCAGGCCCCGGACTCCATCAACGCACACACACACAGAGCCACCTCCGCCACCAAAACAGGGAACCAAGGACACTCTTTCCACTAAACCCTCCACACACACACACACACACACACACACACACACACACACACACACACACACTCTTCCCCTTCCTTCATTCAGTCCCACTGTCCGGCCGGCAGGAAGCGGAAAAACGGATCCCGCTGCACATCCTGTGTTTTCTCAAGCCTGCTGTTGATCTCCCCTTCATTCGCTGTTCTCACACCACTCTCCTGCCCACGCTGTCACAATACGTCCATTATCAAACCATTCTGAGCAGCAGAGATGGGTTAACAGTCTTACTGAACAAAACAAGAGCCAAACAGAGCTGCACAATATATCATTTGTGTTTCATCATATCAGCCTTCACAATACTGATCTCTCAGATCAGGCTGCTATATGCATATGAGCCTCTAACCAAGTGCTAAATGTTTTACTGTGTCGTGAGCTTCCTGTCACAGATGTTTCTGAGAGAGTATGGATGAATCAAGACATTCACATAATCCAACAGACACAATTAATTTTAGTAAAAACAATACAGGTCAACATCATCTTTATCCACATCTAGACCTGTCATAATTTTGACAATCACCTGATCACAATTATTTGAGCTGATCACGATTATTTTCTAAAGCTGTTAGCTTTCACAATCCTTTGTTTACGTCACATGTTGGGTGGAGGCAAATGAATGCACATAAGAGAGCAGGAAACACCATGGGTCCTACAACACTTCTGATTTGGTGCTATAAGACTAGTTAGGAGGGCAGCTGTAAGTAATGTTTGAGCTGTTGTCATTAGTTGGAAGCTACTGTGCATTGACAGCTCAAAAGCAAGATCAGCCAATTTGGCCACCTTTGGATTGTACTTAAATAGTTGCATACAGTTAACAAAAAGTATAATTAAAACTTAAAACTTCTTTATATGGCAAGCTAAAGTTTCTTCATTGTGACAGGCCTTTTCACTTTAGATCAATGGTTCATCTATGTGTTTTTAATAAATTACAAGGTATATCGAGCAAGCATTTACAATATGTGGCAAATATGATCGCACTGATATACTTTCCTACAACATTTAAAGAAGATTGAAAAGTTAGTAACAGAGGGCAATGAACATCATCTACAGTTATGTGCCTATATATTTTGTGAAATTAAAAGGTGACATTAGGAGATTCTGGCCACTCTTGGAGAAGGTAGTGTTACAGACGGACCCACATTTTCAGAGTGACACTCTGACTCAGAGTGACAGAGTGACTAACTGTGTGTATCAGGTCAGTCAATAAAACACCAGCAGACACAGTTTAAGACGATCTGCAAAACACTGCACTGGATTATTCACTGTGAGCTATCGCAGACCTCCTAAATGGAACTTAGACTGTACTATTACAGGCCTGGTTTACTTTTTTCCCCTAATTGCCGCAGTTCCATTAAGCACATTTTCAGTTTAGTGCAACCTGAACATTACTTTAAAGACAGCTGTCCTCTAAACAGTAAGATAGGAGTGCTTTTAAACATTCTGAGGAGATAAAGTGAAGGACCGTTTTCAGTGGATCCAGCATTTCCTTCTGTACCTGCTGCCAAACAGACAGACTTGAAGAACTGAGGCTAAGTAATAGCATCTACGCGTTCCTGCAGCAGCCCGCCAAGATGCTTCTCATTTCATTTTCTGCCCGACTGATAAATGACAGCTACCGGAGACTGCGCACGCCACTGATGGCCCGAAGACGGGGAGTGAAGCAACAGTTCATCACTGCTGACAAAACCACACCACTGCTCCCTTTAGCTCTGCAGCAGCACTGACAGCAAAATACCTCTCCGTAATTAAACAGCAGTTA